TAGACTTTATGCGAAAGGGTGTGCTGAAAGGGGGACAATCGTGCATTGCGGGCGCAATGAGAGCGCCTTAACGAATGGTGTTGAGCGCACCCCGATATTTTGGGCTCTTGTTTTGTTTCTGTGTATCGTTCCTGCGTGCAAAAGCTGATCGGTTGCTCAGTTCTTATGAAGCCTGCTGCACTGACAGCTTATGTTTGCGTGCAAAAAACAATCATAAACAAATCTATACATTTAAGGCCACAGCATTTTTGTTGATCCTGCCCGAAAATCGCGATGCAGCCTGCGCATGTCAAATTCAACTGAGGTTGTCCTAAGTCTATGCAACTTGCACAACATATACAACATCAACATGTTCGGGACCATGGCACTCAGCAATTGCAATGCTGAACATGACCACCCGAGGTGCGGTGAACAGAGTCGGCAATTGTTTGTCTCCACTCAGCAAACGACGTGTGATCTCAGATTGAAATTGATGGTAGGAGCAATTTTCTTCACATACGGGCAACGCTGCCAAGAGGCAGCCAGGATTGTGAATTGCTTTGTGTTTGAGGATTGGGCAAATTTCGGGGGGCATCGCCGGTGTTCATCCAAATGCAACGGGTGCAAAGAAAGGCAGTTTGCTTAAAGTGTGGTAGAAGCCACGGGTCGCAAAGGTGGAAAGCTTTATGCCTCACAGCGACAAACAACAATGGGCGTCACGCTGAAAGCTGTTCCCAGGCCGCTTCGCAAATGGCAAAGTACAAAAGTGGCTGGTGTGGATAGATACAGGCAAATCCGCCGGATGAAACTGAAGGATATTGTGCAAGCTCATGCAAAGAATATGCAAAAGCTCTCCGCCTCAACTTTCATGCTTTCCTCTTTCCATCGCAAGCTTCCTGCAGCGGAGGTTAACAGGAGACATCATGCTCAAAGCTGGAAGTTTGCGTTGTTCACGGCTAGCTTAAAAAAATGGAGTGTCGACACTGTCTGACTGTGCGACTGATAGTTGCACCAACCAGCGTGGTTGTACGAACATCGTCACAACTGTCACCCACGAGCTTTTCAGCCAACGCAGCGGAAATTTCGGGCGCTGACGGTGACCCGCCCATCAAATCGATGAAAACACAAGAACACTAAGATTTGCAGCGCTCGCAAACACAACAGAACAGTTGCTGGGCAAGCAAATATCGTCCAACATGAGGACATATTTTTGGTTACTGCTACAAAGGAGTCGTTGCAACTAGACTAGCTGTCTTAGCCCAGTCGGCGAACTAAAAACACACCACTGTTTCAACAGTTGTGTATGTTTTCGCAACTTTCGTTGGTGCCCCAGTTTTTCCAGCAACTTGGTTTTCCAGGTATGAGCAAATATCACGCGTCACTCAATAGTGAGTACCAAGCTTTGTGAGATGGAAGCATGCAGAATTGCGCCTGTCTTGTTCTCTTCAACGCCACGCTGACAAGCTGTCTCCTGACCATTTGCTTCATTCGACACCTTTCGATGTGCCGGTGCCTCCTGGCTGGCAGCGCCCAGAAGCAACCAACGTCGCCTCGGGCGCTAGAAATCTGATGAAATCTGTGGAGGCCCCAGCGACAGCCGCTCAGCAACGGCTCAAGAACCCTACAAAGAATGCATGCCTCTGCTTAAGATGCAAGGACAATGCCAATGCCTCCTGCATTGCAGGCAGCAGCCAGGTTGTGACCGTCCGTCATTCCCGACAGCACATCGTTTGGAACGAGTCGGCGCATGGGCTCAGGAGTGGATCGAGGAGCCTGGAAACTCGAATGATATTCCCCCTTGAATGCAACATAATTTGCACAAATGCTGGATGTACAAGAGCCAAACAGCGGAGCATCCAGGTCCGGGCTATCCTGTTGGAGTGGGCCAAAGAGGAATCCGGCTAGGCCTATTTCGGCTAGAATTGCCCTGTGACCTAATCGCCTTTGCCCAAACGGGCTGAACCGTTCGCGGCAACGGGCCCGACCCCAGGAGTCCTACATCGGTGAGCCATTGGTTTGGAACTGCGGAGGGAAAATGGACATGGCAACACGGACCCTGCCTAAGCCTTTCTTCCAGCGAAAGCAAGGCCCCGGCGTGGACGTGGTGTCCGTGATGGCCACTTCCACCGAGAAAGGTCGGTTCCCATTCTGCGCAGAGTGATATGAGTCTGTCTTTTTGTGAGGGTTCCTTTTTTTGCCCTATTTGAGACAAATCAATTATATTACTGCTTCAGAGCCATAGCTAGCTCAGCCATGGCAGCCTAGTTCCGAAAACGCGGCTTTTTTGACCCACCTGAAGCCAAGTGCGTGGAGAACCGTGCGAAGAGAATGCCCTCAACGCCAAAGCCGCTTGGAAAACCCGTGAGGCTTTGGCGAGGCTGAGATGACAATGTCTATCTGCAAATAAATGCATCACATATTACGCGTGATTACTATTACATAAATACACATTATGCATTTATTAAATGCGATTATTTGCCCATTGGCTCCATTGAAGTCTCCAACTGCAAGGAATGTATGAGCGTTCGCAACCGCTGCTTCTCTACACCCTCAATGTCACAGTGGCTCGGCCTGAGGGAGGAAGAGCTGAAACACCAAGAAGGGCTGGACCTTAGCTCTGCGAACATTACGCATGGGTGGACCTTGACCTTTACTGTACCAGTCAACATATGTATCCAAACATGACTGCTTTCTGACTTTTAATGGAGTTCCCTTGGTTTCACATTTCACACACACAAACAAAACGGGTGCCCTAAAGCCCAGTCTTCCACGACTCGCGACAACGCCGAATTGTAATCACAAAATATCCTGGTGTTGGAGTCGGGTCTGGTGGCTTCCCCCTCTCAAGTGCAGACAGCCAGTAAAGCAGGCAACCAGCGATGAAGGACATCGTGCACGCATGACCATCGAAGCAAGCAACAACAACTGCTGCCCAGCTCAGCGCTTTTGTTTGCCGCATGGTACAAGTATGGTATCAGGATGCTTACAGGGGTCCAGATTTGCCCCAGGAAGGAACATCTCCTTAAGTTTGCTTGAGTCAATTGAAAGGTATTTTGGTGTTAATTTTTGCCCATGTGTTGTCGCCTGGCGGAGTACAGGCAAGGTTGGGCGCCAATGCTGAGGGTGTCCAAATGCTAACGGCCATTGTGGAAACGCCATCCTTAGGTCCCCTGGAAAACCGAGAGCAATGATTCATAGCGCCTGACGTTGCAACCTCTGAAAGACTCGCCCCTTCGATTCTTGGACCGTTGCTGAACAGGCAAAGGGGGGTAGAAGGTACCAAACAACGACATACTAAAGGCCCCGTACTAAAGGGCCCAACAGATTAGAGCGCGCATGTGGGTACTTCAAAGCTAAGTCATCGTAGGAATGATGTGCAATTATCTAGCCCATTAAATTACTTTTGACATACACCAAATAAGATTTAGGTATGTCATATTCTGGTTCAGAGCCGTTTCAAGGGAGCCAGTCCAACCTAATAGTCACTGTTAGTCACTAAAAGGGGCCAATAACAACCATTGACATTGAGGGCAGTTCTCCTCCCTCGGCTCCCTTGTGGCAAAGTTCTGGCAGATCTCCGCCTAAGCATGGCACAAGCCCAAGATCTTTTCCATCACGTGGCAGCTGCATGACTGCCTCCAGCTCCATCCGGGAGGAAAGCTCCCTATAAGTGCGCTCCTTGTGGGAGGGAACCCCCTTCAAACGCTCAGGCTGGTTCTATGCAGCAGTCCAATTTTGACCCTCTTTAATGGGCTCACTCGAGGTCAAGCACTGCAACTACTGCAAACGAATGCGTCCTTCCAGGTTGCAAACTGCTCATTGTTGTGCGCTGTGCATTCCAAAATAAACTTGACCGGAGATGAAATAGAGGTTGCGGTGTATCTTGGAAGGGCTGAGACCTGTTTGCTTCAACAACAAAATTGGTACCCGTCAGCACCAGAAGTATATGCCAGCAAATCAGCCAAGGACTGGAATCACATAGACGCATGCCTAATTCCTGCCATACTATTGAATATTCTGTCTCTCTCTCTCTCTCTCTCAAGGAGATCCTCAAAATCACTGTCTCGCAGCCAGTCTAAAAATACTCGTTCCCCAAAGAGGACGTGAGACATTCAGCAAGTCCCCTGGCTTGTGTGGAAGATTTAGCATTCCCCCCCCCCCCACGTTCCCCCCAAATGAGCCATAGACCTCACGTGTTCCACTGATGGCCTGACTACCATTCGCGGGCAGCTGGTAGACGAAGCTTCTCAAGGCCTCAGCGCGGGGGTGCTTGAGAGGCGTTTGGAAGCAAAATACTCTCAGACTAACATGGAAGCTTCCAGGAATTGTTTGGAAGACTTGGGTCCATTTACGGACCTCTGGGAGCTTCCATGTTAGTCTGAGGGAGTGTACAGAGTGCCTAGATATCATTCAGCTGCATATGCTGCATAAGATATATTGGCGCACTACTCTTGAGGAAACCCTTTTCACATTGCTTTAAGGGGAAAGAAAAAAAACCTGCCATTTTGGAAGGCCCCCCCTGTTTTGACACATACTCAGCCTCCAGGTAGCAACTGGCTACTTTCTACCTTGGGTCAGAACCTTTGGGATTCAAGCAAAAAAACATTGGCCAAACGGGAAGCTAACACGAAGCTCGAATCATTGAAAGAGACACACGTGTGGCTTTCATCACCAGCAATTTCCGCCAGGCGTAGCTGGAGATGAATCAGCTACCCTCCCCCCAACTAAATGCTGGAACCTGAAAAGGCACATGGTCTACCAGGGGCCTTCTGTCAGCTTCCATGTTAGGGCCGGGAGGGTAGTCTGTTGAACCCTATGATGCCGCTTGTCTCCCTCAAAAGGGGAACTGTTGTGGAGCTCTCAAGGTGTCTTGTTTTGTTCCTCCAGCAAAAAGAAAGCACACCCTGTCACAGGTACCAACAACAACCGACTCAAACATGTCATTGGGTTAATGATGAGGAAACTACAGCTAACCTACCGGAAAACCCAGAGGACATTTCAGGAGGTACGCCTGGACATGGCCTCCGTGCCCAAACAAGTTGAGAAGGGGATCAAAGGCTTCGGCTGTGCTCACATGTTCAGGCGATGTGTTCTCTTCAGAAAACAGCTGGGCCCACATCCCTCGGTCCTGCGAAGCAATGAAACATGCAACACATTTGCGATTCCTACTGCAAGTGTTTACGTGGCTAAGTGGTGTTCTTTTCATTTCACGTGGCTAACCAGCTCATTGTCTAATTGGCTATGTGGCTGAGCGCCTTGGGGAGGCCTGAGGTTGTTTGGCCTGACCAAATCCTTTTGAGGTCGTAAGAAGAAGTTCGCCCGGTCAGCCCAGATCCGATAGTCACGCGGATCTGCCAATGTGTTTCTTAAATGCCCAATGGTACGTTTTGGCATTCTCTTGTGTATGCAAGCCAGCGAAACGGCGCCACACAAGCATGCGATAACTCTTTTATCCACGCATTGTGTTGGCGCCAGGGAATCATCTTCTTCTGTCAGAAGTTCCAGGAGGCACCCAGGCCTCGGGGGGTCTGCCACCCAGGGGAAGTGAGTCACCCACCGGCTCCGGTCACGGGAGTTTGGGTGGGCCCACACTGAGGTCAAAGGCGTCTCCATTCAGCAGAGGGGAAGAAAGGTAAAAGTTTCACAGAGTTCCTTCTTCGGGACTCTATTCAACGGAGCGAAACCTGCGAATTCTGGGTGAGTCAGTTCAACTCGCGTGGCACGTGGTTGGCAGGGCTTCCTGGACCATGACGTTGCCCTGGTTGTCACTGCCCGCCGCGAGCCGAACCCGGGAGGCCAGAGGGCCTTGGTGAATGAGGATCATGTTACAGAGGAAGAGCGTACTCAGCATCTCCAGGGCCGCAATTCGCCGTCTGGGATCCTTAATTGAACGCCCATGGGTACTCCTCCATGTGGATCTGCTTGTGGAACCAGTACACCTCTGTCTTCTCTGGCTCCATCCTGTTGGAACACCAGCCCAAGATTTCGGCAAGTATGGGGAGTACTGGACGAAATGCGTGTTGAAAAGGCGACGTAGCATGAATGCCAGCATCCTTACCACCTTAGGCGGTTTACCCACCGTGGTGGTGGCCATCTTCCAGGCCCACAGTGGCTGGAGCATCGACTTTGCCAAAAGGCATGCGAACGTTGCCCATCTAGCACAGTGGGAGCCATTGTCCGTTCCATCGTCTGGTTCCGGATGGTGTCATTTGCACCTCCAATCGAGCCATCATAGATGGTGCGGATCTTGTAACCTTCATCGATTCCCTCAGGTCTGCAGATGCAGCGCGCCGCTGCCCCCCCCTTGAAGAGAGGGCCTTCCACCATGCCCATGGAGACCTCCTCCAAAAATGTGCCCCGGATGAGCTCTCTGAAATGATCTGCAGAAGGTCCGAGAGCCTAAAGTACACGAGTTTTTCATTCATCGGCCGGAGCCAAACGCCACCTTCAGCCGCTCCAGGGCCACGGAGAGGTCCTTCATCACATCCGCGGCCGAACCTGACGGGGGGGCCGGGGGCTCGTCCAGAACCAAGCCTGTAGCCACCGCCGCCTCCCGTGTCCGCACTTCTTGGGCCTCCTGATTCGCCATCTCGACATCTGCCTCCGTGATTTGCTGTTCCTCCAACAGCTCAACGAGGACACCGTAGTTGCCGAGGATGCCATTGCGAAATGGGGAGTTGGGATCGAATCAACAAGCGCGTTTTTCAAATCAACCGGGTTCAAAGAACCCAAGCCAAAGGCAATACTTGAGCCAAAATGACACATGCCATTGTGGTCAAGCATTTCACACACAGTTCATGTTTCCACATGTTTCAACATTAACAAAATTTATGTAACAGCGGTCCCTTCAGGGTTCTAGTTTTGACAAACAGCCAAATCAGAGTTAGCAACTACAGTATAGTGGGATTGGTCCATCAATCCGTTATCCACGTAAGGTTGCGTGTGAGGGCGTGCCAGTAAATGTACAGGTGGGTTTTCACTAGCAGGTCTGGAAAACACTACATGTCCTCTCCCAAGAGGCTTCTTTTTGGGACAAAAAACACCCAGAGATATCTTCTGATCCTTAGTTGTCCCAAGCTGTAATCACGGGTCGAGGCGATGCATTCTTGGGCACTGAACTGCTCCTTGGGTCCATCAGCTTATCCTGAAACACCCAAGCCGCGGGTCCCGTGAAAAAGCTGCGCCCGCCGGCCTTGTCATACACTCGCTGTACACCTTGATGAACCTGCCAAGATGCAGGGCACGTGGGCTGCAAAGGGGCCTCGGAAAACAACCTACAGGGCTGCCTCGCCCTTGTAAAATGACCCTACCCAAAACTGCTGAACAAACCAACAGCCGACCTACACGGAACCCTGGCCGGCGGCGGTGACCGCTGTGGGCGACCCTGGACTGTGTCTTCGGCTTCTGGTCCTACACCTTCTGATGGTTTTTTCTTTTTTTTCCGGGGACCTAACTTATTGGTGACAGGGAGCACTGGGCACGCTGCAGTCTGCCTTCCATGATCTATTCCGTTTGCCAAGCAAGAGAGTGGGGGGCTCAAGGCCATGTTTCTAGTCATCTCCTCCAGAGGAACTCTGGAACTATAAATGACAATTGAGGAGTCGTCCATCTGCCCCAAGCGCATTTTCAGCTGGAAATAAGTCGACTCGCCTTTCGAGCGACTGAGCCAGGCCGGGAAAAGAACGACCGGAGCGATCCGGGGTTGCCAGTGCTATTGCATTCAAGGGAGTGTTTCCCTGGATGCGTAAAATGGAATACCCCGATTCCTCCAAAAGGGAATGCCCTTTCAAACCGGGAGTGACACTCCCAATCAAAACCATCAAAACCAGGCTTGATTCATCGGCAGCGGTCGGCATGGAGTTTCACCGCGCCTTCCATTGAAGAGCGGCAGATTGGTTTGAGCTCAGCAGCTCCAAAGACGAGCCTTGAGTGACCTGAGCTTTCTGCTGGCTTCAATGAACAATGCCCTTGGCCTCTATGCTAAACATGAGCTTGCACTACATCCCAGCAGGTTCACCTGGAAGCCCAACAACTCGCAGATGTAGATGAAGCTCGCTTTGGCTGCTTGTCAATTTGCAGAGGAGTCATTTGTAAACTATGTAGAGGAACAAGGCACCTCAGCATAGTGCGGTTGAGGCCACGCGGGTGCCCTTTTGTCTCTCCAAGAACTGGAGATGCTTGAACCCACAACACCAAAGGCAAGCATTCCAAGGGTTCCTACATGCCCCTTAAACACCACCCCGCCGGAAAGGCAACTCAATCATAACTGGCTCACAAGGTGATGATCGAACCGCCCAGGGATATCACCCGTGAGCCGGACTCAAAACCGAGCTCAGCCCCGGGCGTCGCACATCAGAATGTTGGAACCATTCTACAGGTTCTGCATGGGTGCCTCATACACACTTAGCAGTGTGGCTGAAATCTGCGCGCCATGAATGAAACTCGATTCAATCCACAAAAGGCAATCCACAAAAGGAACAAAGCAGGGATGAAAACCAACACCAGCATTGTGGAAAATTTGACTAGCTTCAGCTTGAGCCCAGTTGGCCGCCGCAAGCCAGCGCTATGGTCTCATGGTCATCAGGTCCAACGAAGCGTACAAAATGTCTCAGGTGAGACGGTGTTTGGGTTTTGCTCGATTCGATTCAGGCGGAATCAATATCTCACCAAGAGCTCTGGTGGCCAGAAGAACACATGGGCACCATATGTTGTATTGGGATATGCGCATCACTATATATATATATATATATGACCCGCTTGAAGCTGATCAGAATCAATTGTAGACCCACTTGGGTATAGGCTTAAGAGACAACCAAAGGAACAACAGCTTAAGGAGGTTCTTGGGTACTGACACACACACACACAGTGGCTCGAGACCCAGTCGATGCGCGACATCACCAATTCCAGCCAATCGCCAAACGCGCACAAGCCCGCCCGTTTTCACGACGGCCATGCCCGACCTCCGGGCGCTTGCCTGCAAGCAGAACAAGGCTGGACTTGAGGAGAAGGTGATGTTTGCAACAAGCTTGGCTGATGTGCAGGCATTCAGCAACAAAGAACATCGAGTATGCACACTGTCGAAGGAAACACAAAAGAGCAAGCGCTGTGTAACCTGAGTTGAGACTGTCTACAGTTCACGTATGGTTTGAATCCAGCGTTGGAGATGTGCTGAGCATGTCCTGAGCTTTCCACAGGCTGTTCTCCCACTTTTGATGGGAGCGTGAGACTGTGAAACACCATGCCAGATGCAGCAAGTCTGACTGCCATGTACTCTTGTTGCATCAATTTTTGCGTAGGTGACCGAACATAGTCTGCGGTGCCAGCTTGCACTGCAAATGGACAAAGCGGCGACCAAGCCACTCAAAAGTCTTGAGTGGTGCTGATATTCGCGCTCGGCCTTGGTCCAGAGTCGATCGCTCAGGATGTCAACCGCAGCTCAAACACACCTTCTGATCAGCTACAGGATTGCAAAAACTCTACAGCGGGAAGCGGGAAAACACAAGTGCACAAGCAAACCTGACCCAGGTCTGGCCTTCTCGTGCATCCCAAGTGGGCGACGCTGCTTTACTGTTGTGTCTCCCTCCACTTGAGGACTCTCAACCATGCCAAACTTCGGCACATGGCTGGCAACCAGTCTCGGACTCTGCCGCAAAAACTTTCAAATAATGACACTGACAGCTGTTTTGTTGAGGATACCCCTTTTGGAGGTTGAGTAAAAACAAAGCAAAGGGAACACTCTCACACACACACACACCCCAACAATTTTAAAGGCTCAAGCCCTAAAACCAGAAATGCCCTAAAACATGTTTATCTTCACCAGCCCCCCAACCCCGCCGTTTCAACTTTCAGCCCAAACCTAGGATTCATAAAAAAAAAGTGTCCATTGTCGTGCTTTTCAAGTGCAAACTGGCTACATGTTATCAAACGGTGATCCAGAACATTGTGGTTGTGCTTGTAATATTTTCGTGTGTCTGCTTGTGTGTGTGTGTGTGTGTGTGTGTGTGTGTGTGTTTGTGCTTGTGTTTGTGTTTGTGTTTGTGTTTGTGTCTGTATGAATGTGTTTGCGTTTTGCATATGTGTGTGTGTATTGTGTGTTGTGTTGTGTTGTGTGTTGTGTTGTGTGTTGTGTGTTGTGTGTTGTGTGTTGTGTGTTGTGTGTTGTGTGTTGTGTGTTGTGTGTTGTGTGTTTGGTGCTTGGTGTTTGCTTTGTGTGTGTGTTTTTGATTTGTTTTTGTGTTTGCGATTTTGTGTTTGCTTTGTGTTTGTGTGTTTGTGTGTTTGTGTGTCTGTGTGTGTTCGTGTTTCTGTGTATGTTGAGAGTCCTTTCCGTCTGAGGTTTGAAACTAATCTAAAACGACAAATATCTTTATGGTTCAACCAAACTCCCTTGCACCATCCTCGCGAAGCCCCTGGCCGCAGCTCCTTGGTATTGCCCTGGGAGCCTGAGTGCGTGCTCCGCTTTCTGGAGGCTCGGTGCGTTCTGATGGACAAGACGGATAGCAAAATCTCCTATTGGATTGGTTGGTCTTCAACAAACACTGGCGCAAAGGACATCCAAAGCAAAGGACACCGTTTATTGGGGTCCCGCAGATTTGTGGGAAACTGGACCCCTACAATTAATCAGTAGTACCCCTCCTTCCGATAGAATAAAGCAATGCATACGCTTCCAATAATAGGCACAACGTCCACTGTAGAATACATGGTAGTATATTCGATGAACGTTGCCTTGCACAAATGACTCCACTCGGAAACAGCGGATGCCACAAACGTCTCACAATGGGCATACATACCAGGATCTAACTCATAGAATGTGTCATCGGGGAAGTGGGCGAAGGGCGTTTGGCAAGGGGTGCTTCAGGCGTTCTCAACGCTCCATCGTCGTGAAGAAGACATGGCCTTTTCTGTGATGACCAACATGGGCTGTCTGCATGACGTTATGACTTTCAGGGACTACTGTTCCTTGGCTATGGCGAAAATGGCCACCTGAAACTCAACTCAACTTCCCACCACTGGCTCCCTTAGGAACCCTGAGAACTCACAGCTTGGGCGCCTGAGTTTTGTGATCCGCGGTCACCCCCGCGAGGCATTTCGGCCTGCGCTGGAACCAATCGCTCGGCACTTTGTCTTGGAAATTACGTGATGCTTGATCGACACTCAACTATAGGTCAACCCGAATCTTAAAATCCCGTAGAAACCTCTCGCCACAATTTGTGTGGAAAATGCCGCTACGGATCCACCAGTGAAGATGGTTAAAGAAGGGGCATAGGTAGAATTCTCACCTGCGCCCGAAGTGATCGATCCCACATGTGAATTCTGTGATCACAATCCTTAAGTAGGCCCGTTCAATGCAGGTTGCCCGCATAAGTAATGGCATTCTAGATTCTTGCGCCAAACTGGGATGAGGTTCTCAAATGCGGCAAATGCTCAAAAAGTAGGTTTACCTTCAGGCAGCCCTCTTCATGCTTATGAGCAAAGCCTCGTTTCGTGTGTAGTCGCAAGCTTTTACCATGACACGGGGCTTTGCTAGGTACTCGCACTGACCTCCTGGCAGTTTATTGGGGCTACTGACATCATCCCCTCTATGGTAGACAATAGAATGTAGATCTTCTACTTCGTCGGCGTAGATCTGCGTCTCTGTCAGGGTTCCTTTTGTTTCTTGCTCAGCATGACTCCAAAACGGAAGCTGCAATGTCGTTCGCCCAACAGGTACTGATTCAGCCACCAAATAGTCATCCCCATCCCCCACCAGTTGGCCGGTGCCCAATGTGAAACACCGCTGCCATCAGAAACCGTCAGAAACCAGGGGTTCACATCCTGGAAACGCTTGGATGAGTTGGGTTGTCCAAGCCCAGGATTGCACAAAAGGACACTGGAAGTCAACTATATAGCTGCTGGTTGCTTCTTCACATCTTTGCCCCCGTCCATCAGCGCCGGAAACAAACATACACAGGTGGCTTCGAGTTTGTTTCCCTTGACAAGCCATATAGCAAACCCTCAAATCAGGATCCACCCATACCTGCGTATGCGGACCCCTCCCCGCTTTGGGTTGATTTTCAAATAAAGCCAAAGCAGGGCAGAGGGACGCGGACTTTTGGGGGTCCCACGTTCCCGGCGAAACGAACGCACGCGAACGCACGCGAACCGAACGCGGGCCGCGCCTCAAATCGGATGTTGGGCTCTTGCGCGGTGACGGCTTCAAGAGCGCTACCCTGGCGATGGGTCCCCGGACACCATCCCTGACAGAGCTCCCGGAAGTCCGCTCTCAAACATCTTATACCCAAAGAAAAAAAGAAACACCAACTTTTACCAAAGCAGAACTATAGAAAAGCCAACATCACCCCACCAAAAGAAGACCCATATTAGAAAGCCCAAAAGGTGATGTTCCCAATCGCCAAAGGGAAACCATAGGGAAACTTGTCAATCAAATGTCAACCGAAAAACGGGCTTGCCCCTTGACCCTTTTTAACCGAACTAGATATGGACGGGATAGAAAACAGCGTTTGTCCACACAAGACGTCCAGTCCAACAAGGGCGTTGATGGTTAAAAGTTGGACGGATTAATTACATCACCTGTGGCTGGTTCGGACAAAAACCAAACAAAGGTGCCTAGCGTTGAAGACTACAATGACAAGGGTTCCTCTTAAACAAGCATGCAACCCTCACAAGGAGTTTTACGCATTTCACATAAATAGGGGGAGGCTTGCCAAACATAGTAACCTTTTGGGTCCGTGCCGACGTTACGCATTTGCTAACAACCACAGGTCACACCAATATGTTGGTTGAACTACGCCTCAAGGTGCAATCCCTTGGTGAGACGAGGAAACTGAGAAACCAATTGGCCATCATCCATACTTCCATATGTTATACAAGCATGGTGTTAGAACACATATCCCACTGTCCATGGACAGTCCTGCACCAGTCAGGATAGATGAAATTATAGAAATACTGGGTTCTTGGTAACAAAAATATGGCCCTTTTTGGCCCCTGGTGCCTCCTTGTGCCGCCTTTACCAGGGGTTAGCAACTAGGGCTTCTAACAGTTTGTGGGCATCTTACGGCCTTCGATTTTACCATCCTTTGCACTTGTAATTTCCGGCACGGTGCGGCTGGTTTGCTTTAGTTTTTGGAATGAACAAATGTTTCACGGAGGGGACTGCTTTCAGGGGGATGAGACCCAAGCGACTTGTGAAGCATCTGTCAGTACCTTCTCAAATGGCAAGGCCGAAGCTGTCGTACCTTAGCCAGCATTTGCCTGTTCGCAATGTATCGGAGCCCAGGGAAGCCTACCAGAGGAACCCTTTGTTTTGACGAAGCTCCCATTTGCAACATCACGTGCCGAAACAATGAGTTTAAAAAGCGCAGCCATGGTGAAGCCCTTCCAACCCCAAGGGGTAGTTTGACCACACGTATGCCCACTGGGCCCATTGGTCCTTGGCACGGGTAGGATCTCCTCGCCGCTCTTTCCGAAGGATCTCGCAAATCTCTTTGAAATCCTCGCATAGGCAGCGACTTGGTCTGCAAATCACGTGCGTTTAATCCCGGGTTGGTTTGCTTTTGAAATTGGGGACATTTACAACCATCGCCTACTTCGTGCTCAATATGTCACCTTGTACCACCAGGTCAGGCTCTTAACATGGCAAGCATGGGGTCATGTTTCAACCCCGAAAAGGGGAAGTCCACAGCTCATACGCGCGGGTGCGGACTTCACTGGCTGACTGAAACCAAAGGACCTGGTTTCAAGCAACCGAAACTTGTGTGACCCTATGCCCAACGCACTTGACCACAAGTTGAGCCGCAAATATGGAGCCAACATTGGCCCTGTTCGGTTCCCATTTCTTGAACCTTGTGTGACCTTGACTAAGAATGGATGCCACAATGAGAAGCGCACAGGTTGAAAGGTCTGTTCTGGACGACTGAGTGGCACCTAGAAGGTTGAGGTAGATTCGCGTCTGGCTACAAAGAGCCCCAGAGAAGAGCCCTAAACCCTAAGCCACTTCTGGGCACATTGGATGTGCCCGCATCTCAAACGGACTGAGTTGCAGTTGGCAAATGCATCATGACCGCAGTCTAGGACTGTGCATAAGATTGGAACATGCCAACACAACAATGACCGCAAATACTCGCATTGTCGCGCACTACGTACCTAGCTGACGGCCCTCATCCTTTCATGCATACTTTGGCTTGTCATTGTCCACTGTGACTCTACAAAGGCTCTGCCGAGAAGGCTCCTTCAAGATTTGCCATGTGACCCCCTGTAAGGGAATGTGAAGCCCTTGTGCGAAGGGTTTGTACTCTTTCAGGAGTAGCATTGTTTCTTCTGGGGAATCAACACCTGAAAACAATTGCAAAAAGTCAGCCACACCAGGAATCCCTATGAAAGGAACCCTATGGATCCCAATAGGTCCCAAACCAAGACTCTGCAAGACCGCGATGTGTCGCAATCCGAGTGCCAACCCTGGGCTCTTTGAGGCGATTGCTTCCTTTTCGCTTTTATTCAAAACTATCATCAAAAGGGGTCTCAAGAAAAAGTGATATGAACGTAAGCAGCGACCAACACCCGTTGAATCCATTTGTAAGGGTTTATATCATAGGCCTTACTATAATCCTCATGAACAAAAAGGTAGTAGAACCCATTAATCGTGGCCAATACGGGTTTTGGGTGCTCAAGCGCCGAACCAGGCTCCTTGAGGTAGGCTAAGATGACCTTGAGTTGCCTTATGGCAGTCTCCTGCACGGCTCGCTCGAGACATGCCATTGCCGTTGCTCCAGCAACGCCGGGAAAGAAACACGTGCAGCGGGTTGCACTTTGCCTGGGCAGAACCAAACTAAAGCAACATACAAACTGGGGCGTACTACACGTTGCCTGAAAAATATTGGATGGGGTTGCAGGAAACAGAATAAGTCACGATCATAGGAGGAAAGTGATTGTAAGTATTAAGACCGTGACCAAAGACACGACATATCCATCCCTTTGTGGTATACTTATAGGACAAATCCTAACAATGAGTGATCCTGAGTTTTGAACACCCATGAACACCAATGCTAAAAGTAGCCACCAGCAGTACTGGATAGGCATTCGGGCATGCATGCACTCCCACAGGCTTTTGATGCTCTTCCCTACCATACCTCCACCATACCATACCTCTATCCTCCCCTGGCAACACGTCATGCCCTGAATGCGTGTCTCGAGACCGTACAATGTGGCAACAGCCCTGGTCAACCTTGCCATTCTGCAACTCAGATCTTAGAGGGCTTGATGTACAAGCCCAGTCGTCCCACCACTGTTTGCAGCCAGCCAACTAAGATATCTTTTGGTTGGTTCCAGAATACCACACACACAAACATCGCAAGCCTAGTTGCACAGCGATGATGAGAAAAATGCAATGTTATGTTGTGCTACTGATTTTCAATATTCAGTAGTAGGAACCAAACAAGGACCCCAACACACTTGCTTTCGTTTTGCTTGCCCCTCAAACGTCATCCAAGAGGGGGGGTGCTCACCGAAGGACAGCCCCACTGAGCAAACATATGCTCACCGGCAATTGACAGCGGCGCCATGTTGCGATCTCCTTCTTCTTCCGGAAGGAGTCCTCACTCTCATCCTGGCCCTCCTCACCTGCGAAGAGAGAAACCAACACACGGAGTCGCATAACATGAGGCTGACTAAAGGTCAGCTACCTGAAAGTGCACCTGCCCAAACATTCCGCCTTTGGGCTGCCCATCTATATATAGCCGACCAATGAATGTCCTGGGCTGGGGAGGGTCGTAGGACCTGGTGAAACCAAAAAGCCACAGCAACAACAAGGTACTCCTGTCCACCTGTGTGTGTGTGGGGCGTGTCTGTGTGTGTCTCTGTGTGCGTGAGTGTGCGTGCGTGAGTGCGTCCCTGGGTGCGTGCGTGGGTGCGTTGGTGTGTGGGTGCTTGCGCGGGTGTGTGGGTGCCCAGGTGCCAGGTGCGCAGGCGCGTGCGCGCGCGCGTGCGTTCGTGCCTGCGTGCGTGCGTGCATGCGGGTGCGCGCGCGCGTGGGTGTGTGTGTGTGTGTGTGGTTGTGTGCGTGTGTGTGTGTGTGTGTGTGTGTGTGTGTGTGTGTGAGTGTGAGTGTGCGTGTGTGGCTGCGTGCGTGCGTGCGTGCGCGTGTGTGTGTGTGTGGGTGTATGTGTGTGTGTGTGTGTGTGTGCGTGCGCGTGCGCGTGCGCGTGCGCGTGTGCGTGGGCGTGCGCGTGTGCGTGTGCGTGTGCGTGTGCGTGTGTGTGTGTGTGTGTGTGCTGCCTGTGCGTGCGCGTGTGCGTGTGTGTGTGTGTGTGTGTGTGCGCGTGCGCGTGCGCGTGTCCGTGTGCTTGTGCGTTTGCGCGTGCGCGTGCGGTGCATGTGTGTGTGTGTGTGGGTGTGTGTGTGTGTGTGCGTGCGTGCGTGCGTGCTTGCACTTGCACGTTTGCGTTCGCTTGCGCTTGCGCGTGCGGGCTGTGTGTGTGTGTGTGTGTCTGCGCGTCTGTGTCTATGTGTGTGTATGTGTCTGTGTCGGTGTCTGTGTGTGTGTGTCTCTGTGTCTCCGTGTGTGTGTTTTGTGCGTGCGTGCGTGGGTGCGTGGGGGTGCGTGTGGGTGCGTGTGGGTGCGTGCGGGTGCATGCGTGTGCGTGTGCGTGTGCGTGTGCGTGTGCGTGTGCGTGTGCGTGTGCGTGTGCGTGTGCGTGTGCGTGTGCGTGTGCGTGTGCGTGTGCGTGCCATGAGGTCCGGACTAAGATACGGCACTTATATGTTAACTCGTAACATAACTTATAAGCTGTCCAACTTAGGTTATAAGTTCTCTAAGTTCGTAAGTTCCCCATATGTTATTGGTGCATTTATAAGTTAGATATGGTCAAGTTGTGGAACTTATGGAGTTAGGTCCAGGAGAGATACAAATAACTTAGGGGGAACATAGAAGCAACTTACAGGGAACTTACGAATTCGTTTTTTCCAGGGTTTGCGCTGCAGCGCGTGGTGTGTTGTATGTGTCAAAAAAAAGACCCGCTTGCGAACATTCCCTCTGGAAGAAAAAAGCGCGTCAGGGCTCCGGGAAAGTCTATACGGGGGAATCGCGGCTTGAGCCTTGCGCTGTGTTTTCGGAGAGGGTGTCCAGCTCTTTTTCCTTGTTTTTTTCTTTGGGGCGGGACTCGTATAGGGGTGTCCACCTTATAGCTTCGGTGTGGGGGAGGGGGGGGAAAGCAAGCAACACCAAACAACTCTATAGCCTCAAGCAGCAAGCGCTCTGTGTGCTTTCTGAAAACGCTGTTTCCTAAACTTGCGGGTAATGTCGGCAGAATGTCGGCAGATGTCGGCGGGGGTCAGAAAACTCACATGGGGACACACGTCGGCAGAATGTCGGCAGTCATGTCACAAGCTAGATCTTTCTCTAGCAAGCGCACGCTGCAGGCACCGAACGTCGGCGGAATGTCGGCGGGGGCGGACGTAAATTTTGCCCATTTTCAAGGCTTACAATGCTTTCACTCGCGCGCGTAACAATGGCTCAAGCAAGATTTTGCGAGCACCGTCTCAGACTTCTAGACCCGCGGTGACTATGGACGCAGCGGCCACGCAGACGTGCTTCCTCTGCGGGGAAGACTACAGCCAGGATGCTGCCAGGCGAAGCTGGGGCCGCAAGTTTGAGTGTCGTCGCGTGAAACACACCGCCGCTCTGCCAGGGCACGCGAAACTTCGAAGCATGTTCCTACAAACACATGACCCTTTGAGTGAGTGCCTTCAATAAGACGTTTTGGTAAACCACGAGAGCAAACGCAAAGCATGCCTTTCTCTGTAAAGCAGGCTTGCGCGGGGGGAACTTATAAGTAACTTATAAACTCATTGTATTTTGCCTAAGTTATACTTATGATAAGTTCCCCGTAACTTAGTTATATCTATCGTAAATAAAACATATATTTAGCATAAGTATTTTGGACCTCATGGTGCGTGTGCGTGTGCGTGTGCGTGTGCGTGTGCGTGTGCGTGTGCGTGTGCGTGTGCGTGTGCGTGTGCGTGTGCGTGTGCGTGTGCGTGTGCGTGTGCGTGTGCGTGTGCGTGTGCGTGTGCGTGTGCGTGTGCGTGTGCGTGTGCGTGTGCGTGTGTGTGTGTGTGTGTGTGTGTGTGTGTGTGTGTGTGTGTGTGTGTGTGTGTGTGGTGTGTGTGTGTGTGTGAACGTGCGTGACTTTCTTGTTGGTGGAGGCCATGTGGGTATGCGTTCAAATAGGGGCCCCCAAAAACGATCGTTTTCCTTTTGCTTTCCCTTTAAATTTAAGCCAACCCCAAAAGGGTACCATCAAGAAACACAACCCTCATGTGATATTCCAGGATACCAAGCCGATTTCAATCCATTCTCCTGTCAATTGGAGGACCCCTTTGAGAGCGTGGTTCGTCTGGAGAGATCTTGTGTTCCTGGTCACGAAGCCGCCCCCGAACAGCGACAACTTGCTACTGGACGGTGGCTCACGAACAAAAAGCTGAGACTCCTCTGTTTGCTGCTTGCCTTCTCTTGATCCGGCCAGAAGCTGACTCGCGCACCACTAACTATATGAGCAACAGGCCGATTCGCTTGAGGCCCGCGGGCCTTCTTGCTTGCCCTCGTCATCCACCGGGGTTTGGGCATGCTGGATGTTTTTCCTGCGCGAGGCTTTGCAAGATGTAGAAGAATCCTTGCGCAAACTTGCGAACACTTTGGTTGTCAATCGTCTTTCTTGGCAAAAGCAAATACCTTGAGGGGTCTGGAAGTACAACAAACAACCCATCCTTGGCGCCTTGCTGGACATCAGACATAATGAGCCATTCAGCACACCCAGTTTTATCAGTGTGAAGCATTGCACCGTAAAACCTAACACCAGGAAGCCCAAAGAAAGGGACCCTTGACATGGGTGAGGCCTTAGACCCCTTTGTGATGTCGTTATGAATTTTCTGCCAAAGCTTAGCAACCTCGCCCCCGCACCTCTTGGTCGTGCAGCGGAGGAACAAGTTCTCCACCTCAGCCAAACGAGAACAGAGTCTAAAACGACAACACGGCAAAGGGCGAAAAGCGAACAGTTGAATGTTGAGTTGATGGGACACATGTCCTGGACAGGATATAGTGCAAGTGAATTGGAACACATGGGGGCTTCCACTTATGTAAGTGCTTCCAACACATGACCGGCATATGTCGCCCCGGCGCTTCAAAACACCCATTTGAGAAGCGCCAAACGACTCGTCGAACTCGAACAGGGTTCCCTACTCACCCCGCCAAGATGCAAGCCATCTACAATCGGCTCAAGAGGTGTTCAAACTGGCTGGAAAAGGAAACATTGGAACCCCTGTCAAAAGCTGTGGCCCTTGCAGACATAAGGATCTGCCCGAAGAAAAGCGAGTGCCTGCGCGGGACTCGAGGCTCGCGGCTCATGGCACAGGGTCCAAGAAGCAGATGTGTGTACTCTGTTTCATTTTTATAAGTCAACCTGATGCGCAATCATGTTGGAGACCCTCCTCCAGATTCTGTGGCATCAGTCAACCTTACAATATGAGATCAAAGTGGAGGAGACCCCAGACATGGTCATGGTTCAGCCATGGTTCAAGCCTGCTTCAAACAGCCAAAGCACCTCAAAGGACACCCTGATTAGACACCGAACATCAACAGCTGGCCAACAGTAGGCATGTTGGCATAACAGCATGTGCATTGCAGAAGCGTGGCCGTGATTCAATGTCAACAAGTCTCAGGTCAATCAGCGCAGAGTAAGCAGCTTTGATGGTGATCAAGTTTTCCAGCTTTATTTCATTTGAAGCCTATGACCCAGGCATCAATAGCGTTGTGTATCTTGCTTTTCGGATGGCTACCATTGTCCCCAGGTCAACTGCGGGTGGCAGGCCGATTCTGGAGCTGGGCACTCTGGCAAGAAGCTATGGGGACCCCTTGTTCAACCCTAATTAGTGTCGCCGTGCGCCGTCTTTCAAACGGGATCCAGCAAGGGCCACCAATTTGACAACCCCCTCCCCCCAGAATGCCCTTTCAAGCCAGTTGAAGCATCAAACTGTTGGTCTACTCCAATGTTAAGTGAGCTTCCTTTGCGGCGATTGTAGCAGGGGACGTTTAATATTAACTCTGGAGTAATCAACCTTGCGGATTACGAAGGGGGGTGTTCCCAACGATCCCGTCTAAAATGGGACACCGTCAATGCGTAATTGGGGAGGCACAGTCTGATGATTTAGCGAATGGTGCTCAATTCATGTGAGTGTCAAGCAATCACCTACATAAACGCACCCGTCAGCGCAGCTAGTGTATATCAAAACGCTTCAGGGTCTACCTTTTTGACTTGCGCGTGTGGAGGGGTCGGGAGTTGTCAACATGCATTCTAGACTCCTTCTCTAATTTCCAGAGAACGGCCAAACAATGCTCATGGACCTCCAAGGCGGCACTGTGAAATTGGGGAGCTTTGCGTGGAGAAGCCCAAGAGAAGCCACGGGTGAGAAATATGCAAAATCCTCCCCACCATGGATAAAACCTTACAAATACTCGGATAAGCCACCGAAACTGGTGCAGGATGTTGTGCATCCACAGCCTCTTGCTCCAATGGACCAAGAAGAAAATCAATCCGCCTGGAGTCCTCCTGCGTGGCTTCATCGAAGTCATGCTGAAGCTGTTGCCGCTTCTGGCGCGCTTCGAACGGTGCCATAGCTCATCAAACGCGACCGAACAGCAGCGCCTTTGTGGCATAGGTGGCCAGGGGTGCTACCATGTGGAGTTGTCGACCAAGTGGCGCTTGTTTCAGCCCTTGTGCCTTATGCCGCCTTCTGACCCGTAACTTTGACAACCCTCCATGTGGGAGTAAGAAAAGCGCTGTGCCAAGGGACCCAATGCCTTATGATTTGGGTTTTGCAGATGCATTTAGGGGTAATTGCCAAAGTAAGAAGTATCTAAAAGAGTGTCCATTCTGCTCGAACAACTGCCAAATAGAACATGTGAAAATACCCTGAACATAGTTGCTAGGACGGCAAAAACGTCCACAGAACATCTCTCAACTGTCGAACAGACTTATGAGTCTCCCAGGTGCATGGGTTCCTTTTGTTTTGGTTCCCGAAGCCCACCACAAAAGGGATCTTAGCTTGACGCAACCCCCCCAAACATTGGAAAACCAAACTGAGTACCAGCAATGTCCTCCCGAAGTACACCGGGTTGGGGCGGGCATCCCTTTTTGGATTGCCTGAAGCTGACTTGCCCGAATCTGATTCTGATCGGCATATCAGAACTCTTTGAGGGTTTGGCGCCCAACGATAATGGAACGACTCAAGTGCAACGGAACGGACAAATGCCGTATGGCATTTTGTGTCAAAACATGTCGGAACCCCTTTGGTCCAGAGCCAAAGGATCTCAACGTGAAACCAACAACTCCTGCAGGCTTCTCAGCTTATACGCATGATTAGCTATGTTGCGAAACTTCAGGGTCCATGAGCGTGGCGTTTAGCACAACATGCCCAGGAGACACACAGGGTGGTTTTCTTTGGGCACCTCAACGAATACCAAACATGTCGGTCCCTTGTAGTGCCCGTATTCTGTATCAAAATGCTGACTGTTTTTTGGGGAATGCGGTCAGGTAGTTGAGACCCCATAGGGTTGCTCGGCGTTCCCTATGGTTCTTTAGGATTCTTTACCCTAAGGCTCCCCACCCCTTGACCACCCCCCCCCACAGGGACTCCACAAAATGTGTACCAAAATGGTACTCGCTTTGGATTGACAAATGCTTCTGTGGTAGTTCCCCCTTGAGTGGCCACATGCTGCAGAATTGTCCCGACTCATGTAGTCCCGACTGATCCGGAATTGGGTGAATTAAGATACTTCACCAACCCGAAGTCAGATACCCCAATAATGCAGCCTTCATGGAGGCTGAGGTCACAAACAAAGACCCGGTTTGAGGTTGCAATTGACTCTGCTCAATCGATTTTCGTTCAAATTCCAAGGTCCCCCTGTGGAACCCCAGTAGTAAACAAACCCATTAAATGCAAAAGAGGGTCACTAATAAAGGTTCAAAAACAGGCACCTGGACCCTCAAAGTACTTTGCTGCAAGAATAGGGGTGGCTTCCCAAATTTTAAGGGTTGCTTCAGGGTCCGGCAGCCTTTTCGAAGCGGGTGCCAAATAGGCGGCCTAGGAAAATAAACAACAACATACCCATCGCCCATCGCCTTTTGGCTTCCCTTTGGGCAAGGTAAAAACTGTTGGATGTTTGGCACCCAGTCGAGCAACCCATTGCCAGCTTCTCGTCTCGCCTTCTGGCACTCGTCCAGCTCTATCTGAAGCATCGCGACCTGGCAGGCGCGGGTTCAGCGTTCTGTCACTGGGTTGGGGTGGTGGTTGGGAGGGGCTGCTGAGGCGTGCGGTTTTTGGGGCCGGAAAGACGCAGTTGGTCAGTGTTCAAATCCCTAAGGCAGTGGTAGCGGAAATTCAGTGGCACAACTCTGCTGAAGATTTCTGCCGGGGTAAACTCGTGCACCTCTGCCTGAAAGGAGGCACCTGCAAACAGCTGGCCTCACAAGTATTCTGCGTCCCTTGCTTGGAATCCATGGACACGTACTCAGTAGCAATCAATGGTTTAGCTTCCGTGGACTACATGATGCAGATGTTGCAATGCATATGATCCTTGCCCGGTAGGTCACAATCATAGTTTGGCTTCATTCATGGCACCCCAGGAGTACATGATACGCCTTTCTGGCGCACACTGAAGGGCGTGCCTCGAGGTCAAGTGAAGAATTCCAACACTTCTCCTTATGGATCAACCACAGGTTGATCCATCCTGAGCAATTTTCATCAACAGACACCCGCAGGCTGCAACTAGATTCCTGCTCAAACAAAAATACGCAAACAGGGTTCACATTGTTGTGCCTGCGTGGTATATGTGTAGCAATGCTCAGCGACTATGCACACACGTAAGCTAGACGAACATCCGCAAAATGACCAATAAGGCAACTGGGCAGTCAGATCTTAAGGCAAACAGGACAGCCAGGCCCTGTTTCGCAACTCCATCATCTCGTTTTCCTGCTCCTTCCTCGGCAGGCGTATGCCATTCGCAGGACAGGAGGCATGAGGCCATAGTTGGACTAGAGTTGGCTTTTGATAATCCTCAAGCCCGCAGTCAATTCTAAAACGGACCCCAAAGGTGCTCAAATGGGTGTGCGTGTGTGTGCGTGTGCTGGAATTGAACACTCCACACTTTCTGGATCGTGTCTCAAGGGCAAACACAAACAGATCAACCAGTTTTAGGGGTTCTCCATTTAGGGATCCCCTTGCAACTCTGATCAGTCTTCGCCAGGTCTCTTGTAGGTCTGGAACTGGCTCCTCAGCTCCTGCCCCGGTGGTTTCCGCGAAATAAGCCGTCGTCTAAACTACCAAATTGGGGGCGGGTCACTGGGAAATTCAAAACACGATCATCACCCCTATGTTGGTTTCCCTTGGTAAACTAAACAACATAGGCTGTTTGGCACCCTCAGCAAGGGTCTATGATATTCTCATACATGCTTCAGCCAAAAAGAGCCCATGAGAGGCCAGTAACGTCTCGCCTAGGCCCTTTCGAAGGCCAGAAAGGGTGCATTGGACCCTTTCTTGGCTTCTGCTATCGGGGTCCCGAAAACCCACGCGATGCTTGGGGGGACTCGGGGTGTGTTCGAGATAGGATATGGGACTCTCAAAATGACTTATGTCCTTTGGCTTCCTTCAACAAAAAAAAGAAAGAGCAACCCAAAAAAAGGGCAGCCTCCAACAAAGAACACCTACAGGAAAAGTCTGCGGGAGGCAAAGGAAAGTGGCATCCTCTCATAGGGTCGCGTTGAGCATGAGCCACCGACTTTTCTTGGAACCGCCATGACAAGTCGGATCGGCTCGCTCTTTACAACTCGCCCCAACTGGGAAAACCTCCTGCGAGTCTCATCTGATGTGCTTAGCGCTCCCCAGTTCAGGGACATGTCTTTCTCAGAAGCCTAGCTCCAAACACGGAACATAACCGATCCAACTCCAAGAGTAAATATACCCAGCCCCATGAGAGCCCCAACAACTAAACATGGCCAAGCACCGAAACAGCCGTTTAAACTGAAAGCACGTGCCAAAAACCGAAGGACACATATTATAATATGGGTACGGGTCAAAATACAACCACCAGGGGACCGCAGGTCTTTGTCTTTTCCATTTGCCAGGGTTCCATTTTGGGTACGCATTTTTGACCCATACCCATATTTTGCATATTCCCCGCGCCCGAGGAACCCATTCCGATCCTCGATGCTGGTCTCCCATTCCGTTTGCTGCTCCGCCAGGTCCGTGTTGGCGCTCTCCAGCGTGGCATGCCGCTCCACGATCTCCTCGAGCGCCCCCATGCGCGCGCGGTGCGCGCTCGGTGCGAGCCAAAGAAAATTGAAAACCGACCAAAAGAACAGGGGCGCTAACGGCGATCCTTGAAAACACTGGTTACTTGAGGAAGCCAACAAATGCACTCTGTGCAAATACAACTTGACATGCGCAGAACGTGTTTGTTTGTAAAGGAGGGCGAGTAATCCGTGCTGAAATCCACCTGGCCTGCTCTGCGCTCATGTCTACTCGCATCCAACGGATGCCTCAGGCTTCCCAATGCTTCCACTCAGTCCACAGTAGGAAGCCGTGTCCTGGTGATAGCTTAGCTCTGCTAAGTCAGAGGGAGTTGAACTTTGCGAGTTGACCCTGTCTTTTTCTCACCAGCCTCATTCACGTTTCACACTGCGTCAAGCTGACCTTCCCAAGCTGCGAAGCGAAGTGCAAGGTTTTACCATCTCCTTCTGGGAGGAAGAATTGCCATTGACCTTGAAAGAAATTGATTGTTGTTAGGGCCTGCCCAAAGCGACCCAGCAGGGCCCCAATGTGCGCCAATGGACGATGCGATTGAAGGCAAAACAGAATCGAGCGACTGCCCGCTCCGAGATCTCAGCATAGTCGTCGCAGGTTTCCTTGACCAGCTCCAGAAACTCCTCGTGAGGACCAGTCGGGCTTGGTTGAAACATCGGATTTTGGACATTGCTTGACGATCCAAAAAGGCAAATGGGAATCATTATCCAAAATGGACTCATGAAAATGGTTGTCCCAAAAAACTGACAGAGACTGGTAAAAGAGGATATGCTGCTAATATTGTAACTACAATGACTGTAACTACAATGAATTGTTTATCCCCTATGTAGTATTCATGAATTTACCCTCCCTTAAGGGTGTTTCCAACACATGCTGTGTTGAATTTCCCTTGGTTCATTATTCTGAATACAGAACCAAGAACGAAGCCAAGTTGGGTTACCTCCGTTTGCCTTCGTAAGGTCCTCCCTACTCTAGGAAACACCTTGGTCGCTTGCAGAAAGCTCACGGCGGCATTTTGTCGACGAGCGCTGGCGAGCCAATCAACTGCGCTCAACACCTGGCATTCGTCCCTGCCCATCGTGACCCCGATAGAACAATCCTCTTTGTTTGGTTGATTCAATTTTTGGTGGTGTCGGAACCCACGAACAAAAACAAATGTCTGAACAACCGAGTCGTGGAAAACCATTGGGCACTCGTGGCCCAGGGCACTCGTGGCCCGTCCATTGCAGCATGACTAGTGCAGCTGCATTCGGCAACCTGATGGAGTTGTACCTGCTGAGAGGACTGGCCAGAACAGCTGCGACCAGCTGCCTTCGCTAAAATGACGTGGATCCCAGCCAAACAAGACCGACCCGGTAATCACCACTCACAGGCATCACAAAAACCACACACGAGCAAAAGGACCGCCCTGTCGCAACTATGGGTTGGTGGTTGTGTTTCACACCCTTGTGCATGCAGCACTTTGAAAAGAAAACAAACGTAAACCAGTCACAAGGGGAGGCTCCTGGTCTGACAGGTCATAATAACGAGAAAAAAAGGTCCACAAACAATGACGAGAGTCCCCTGTTGCTGGAGCCCCAAAACACTATTTGTTTGGTCAAAAGGCTTTGCCCAAACAAATAGTCATACGGCCGTTCTTCACTTTTTTTTCAATATGTTATCGACAAAATACTTGTTCTATTCGTCCAAATCGGGCAACTAAGGCAAATGAGCGAGAAAGCAAACAACACCTTGTGGGTAAAAAAAGGGGCCAACTACGCCTGCTGACTGATAAGAACAGAAACAAGTGGCGTTTCGGGGCTCCAGGTTCCCAGCCTTCTTACAGCCACGCCAGTCAAAACGACATCTGCACGTTTAAAATGTCAAAGCTATTGCGGCATGGCAGCTCGAAAATGTGCGGGCCATCGCTGCTTAGCAGCTGCCCCGCCTTTCTGCGAGCACGCTCACTGCGCACTGCACTGCCGACGCCAACCCGTGTCTCTCCATGTGATCATGTGATTTGATCGGTTGTCGACACTCCATGTGTGATTATAGGACGTTTGTACGCTTGTGAAGTTCCAATCATAGCAACCACACACACATATACACACATGCACATTTGTGCAAATGTAGGCAACATCACAACCATCTCGCCACGGGGGGGGTGCCCCCCCTTCGGCCCTCCCCCACCCCCATTGTCCCTGGCGGGTTGGGGGGGGGGGGGGGAATTGGAAGGGGCTGACACTATTATTTATTAACTCCCCCTCACCAGAGTCAATTTTAAAAAATGGAATTTGAGAAAACAGAATTACAAGGGAATTGAACATGGAACCTAGCACCTGGGAGGTTCCGGGAGATCATGCTAGCTACCACCTCTGCCTCCCTGAAATTCATGTTATGGTGCTTGTTCCCAATCTATCTGAAAAATCGGTGTCTCCCCCCTCTATCCTACCCTTGATAAAAGCAACAAGGGAAAGCCTAAAACAAGGTAACACAAAGCAAACCAGTGCAAGAATTGCAACAGCAATATAGATGCCCACAGGTATGCCCAAATAACTTGGGTCGCAATGCTGGATAAAGGAATTCGTAGACAAACCACCCCCCTGATTTGTCTGCATTTCAAAGCTGGTGGGGGCACAAAGCTTGTCATCCAGTTAATCAAGGAGAACTGCGCTGCTCGAAATGGAGGCTTGCTCCACCCCAATCCAAGACAAGCCCTCAACCCGGCTGCGCGCTGTGCCGCTCAGCGGCGCCTGTAGGCCCCGCTTCGATCTTCGGCTCGTGGCTTTGCCACCCGAATCGAATTGGCAAGGCTTCGTATCCTGAGGCAGGAAACAAATTTCATTGCCTTACTTTGGGGACAACCCATGTAAGGCCAGAGTAGGAAGGGCGCAAAAAGGGGAGCCAAATAAAGGGGCTGGGAGGTGAGGGAAGTGGGGGTTTCACTAGGGGGAAGCCTGTGACACAATGCAAGCGCTGCCTGCTGAAGCCTGTTGACGTCTCAGAAAGTTGAGGACTTAACTGTTAACCCCACCTCGCTCAAGATTGAAAATCCAGCGACCCTCTGGAAGCGCACGCAACCGCCCTCATCGTCAAGACCCTTTCGTTTGCCAATCAGAACATGAATTTGATTGACCTAAAGTTCAATTGGAACCGCTGCCGGCTCATCGCGCTTCGTGATACAAATGAGCAGCTAATTCCATTGATGTTTGGCTCCACTAACATGATCATATGTTTAATGTTAGCTTAACTATACCACCAAACCAACATGTCCAATAGTGATCGGTTTTGAACATGTGCCAAAAAGTGGGGTGCACACTGGGACATGAAGCCAAGGAAACTCAGGGCTGCATTAGGATGGAAGTAAAAGGGATGACCCAACTGAGATCAAGGAATTGTGCCACGTTTCACCCAAGTGTTCCCCGAAAGCTCTAGATAGCTTCTGACAAGGGTCCAAGGCTCCAAGGGGTCCAAGGACATCATGAGGTACTCGGAATTTATTGGGTCTGGTCGTTTCAAATCGGCATTAAACCAGGAGGCCCAGCTGGAAATAAGGCATGATTTGGGCGCTGCGCGTGGGATCCATAGCCTGCAATTCCCAGCAAGAATTGTGCAGGCTTTGCATGGCTCCCCCTGGCCCTGCTCGTGCAACCGGAGGGCCGGACTTCAAAGCCCAACCTTAAGCCATGAGTAATGAACTAGATCCAGCTTCTCTGTACTCGGAGGCTTGCAGCTTGGCGATTTGCCAGTCGCAAGAACCAAGAACCAGGGCTTCAAATCCCAAAGCACCGGGCTCCAAACCCCCATTCAGGATTACCTGATAGATCACGAAAGGATCCACACGTCTCATCTAGTTGCCACTGTGGAAAAAAGCAATCACCCATTCCCTTACTGCAGGGACAAGGACCAGCCTGTGTAATAAGGTAAGGGCATCCCCACCAAGCAAAGCTTGGCCTGCTCGCTCCTCATCATGGGTAACATCGGTCGCAAACTTAAACGTTTCCTCATCATGGGTAACATCGGTCGCAAACTTAAACGTTTCGTTAGGCAAGACCAAGTTGCCGTGGTGTTTTCGCACCCATCACATAATTAAGCCGAACTCGGTTTAAGCACATTCAAATTGTTTCACGCGTCACAGCCCCAAGGATAGTTGGTCTTTGTTTCGTTTCAAACTGAAACCACATCCATAGATCACTGAGAACACCAATGCCAGACTACGGACTTGGGTACGCGTCAACATAGGGGAGCAAAATGGTTCCCTTCAATGCAAGGCACAAATGATACCCAGCCTTGAAGAACCCACCCATTCGGATTATATCCCAGCTAAGTCTCGCTTTTGCCCGGCACTTAGGACAGGCCGGTGATGCTGTTGTCACTGTGACTGTGCTGGCCTCAACTCTGTGGATGCACAAAATCCACCTGGTAGGTGGTTCATCCCAATATCATTGTATATAGAGGTTCATCCATCTTAACTTGCGCAGGATTTTACCCATCCACAGCGGAAATGGAACATGGTGCAGAAACACGGATCATCTAGGCTAAGGTTTCACCAGTAACAAAATAGTCCGCCAAGCGGCAGGCAAAAGGGGGAGTGGACATTAGGATCTCCGACTTGGCCGAAGCAGAACCAATGCCGTGTTGTGTTCACGTTGCTTTTCCTCAAAACCACGACTACGGAAAGTATAAGCATCAGTTTGCCTTTGCTCATGAAGCACGCAAAACAACCCAACAAACATCCAACACTGCAGATGGGGGCCTGTATGTAATGCGGCAACACGCGACAAGGGAATTTGGCCGTGTTCACTCTTGGACCTCTGTGGCGGGCCAGAACATCAGGGTCCACAACAGCGGCCCCAGACTTGTGGCAGCCTCAAGTGGGATTGGTTTCTTGCTCGCTTATCTTTCAGCTGGACCGGAAACAACAGAAACAAGCCAGGATTCCCCGATGAAATGCATACCTAATCTGTTACCCCTTCAGCTTGCCTGGTGCAAGTGGATGACAGCTGCTCTGTCTGATGGGTCAGGCTCTAGCAACCGTTAGATGGCCTAGGAGACAACAACGTCGTAGGACCCCCCGCCCCCCCCCCCCCCTCAATCCCGTGGTGCCCCATGTAAGCCCTTATAAGCACATGCAACTAGGGCTACAAGATTCTAAGCACAATGGGATATCTTGACTTACCCGGGTGTTGATTGTGGCTCAGCTAGTCTGGCCATTCATTTACTGCGGGGGGGTCTTTGGGCATCGTCTTTGGGCCTTTCTCGCTGCGCGCTTTCCACGACTCTGTAGGTAGGTAGGTAGGCAGGCAGGTAGGTAGGATGTGACAAAGCAGCTTCAACCAATTCATATAGCTCAACACATCAGCTGGCGTCCGGAAGGACATGCCCACATGCTTTTGTTTCTGCCATTGTCCGCCAACTTGGCCCAAACCCCCGGAGAGTGTGTTTGTGTGTTTGCCCTATTTTTGTGCTCGGCAAGAGGTACAAAGCCCCCAGGCCGGTCATCTTGGAACGTTCCTCTGGTGGTTTCTTAGAGGCGAAACGAAAGGCCTTCTCCACGGCATTTGATAAAACTGTCGTTCGATAACGGAAGCGCAACAAGCACGAGGTGCTGGGCGATTCCACCTGCTTGCCCCCAGATTAATCAGCCCCAGTTTAGCAATATGGGGGTGTTCCCCCCAAAAGTGATGATTCGCCACTCAACCCAGAGACACCCCCTATTGATAAAACTGGGGTTGATTCATATGGGGTCAACATTAAGGGGTCCCTTGTGGCAGTTGACCAACGAGAGAACGCACTGGAATGCAAGCTGGCAGCTCTGAGACCGGCGATCCCAGTTCTCCTGACAGCTGAAGCCAGCCGAGCCACAACTAATACCAGGCGACACCAGTGAAATCGAAAAATGACCACACATACAAAATGAAACCTACTTGGCTGTGAGTGAGCGTCCAACTGGGGAGGTCAATAATGACCTTTCACGCAAAGCAAAGTGGAAAACCCCACATCGAACGTGCTTCGGCGTTTCAACCCAGTCCACACTGAACAGAATGGGGAGTTTGACCCCTATTTCCTCTGTTCCCAAATTATGTTTTTCCGCAAGCATTTAAACAAGCGTTGCAAAAAAGGAAAAGAAAAGACGGACCCCTGAGGAGACACCGAGCTTCAAAAATGGAAAACCACGATGCTATGGAACAGACTGATGAGGGTAGAACAGAATGTTGAGTGTGGAACAGACGCTGCATGTGGAACAGACCCATGCATCACCTGATCCAACAGCTGACGGAACAGAACGATGTTTTTACCGAGTGCGCGCTTGCGGAAAGAATGGGTAGTGCAAGGTTGGGAACCTTTTATGAGCGAATGCTCCAAGCCTGTTGGGCGGCCTGGGTATGGGGTATGGGCTTGGCAGACTTTCCCGTCCTGGGAAAGCTCGAAGCGACTCACGATCTCTTCCAAGTAGCCGAAGATCTGCTCAAAGCCTCCATGGGATGTACACACACACCAAATGCCATCTCTTGAAGATGTTAAAGGCATGGGCACGGCAAATGAGAGTGCGCCCTTTACCACCCTCCCCGCCCGCACCCTAAATGAACCAAGGACGAAACGTCGACCGAATGCAAAGGTATGCTGGAGTGCGCTCAAGCACGCAAACAGCTTTTTCGAGCGTTTTCGGCCAGTCTCTGCAGGAAGGCCCCTGCAACAATAAGCTTAGGCGATATCCCCAACAGCACCACACCCTCCTAGAATCCTCGCGGAACGCCCCTTTTCGCCGGTTTTGCGGAGGATGCCGCTTTGTAACTTTATAAAGCAAAGCTAAGAGTGATAGCGCAATCGCACCCGGGTCGGGGTCGAGGCCCGATGGCACAATCGGGGCCCGATCGGGATTCGACGGCGCAATCGCGGTGCAATCGGGCCCCCAACCGGGGCTCGATGGTCCCGTGGCGCAAGCGGGCTCCCAACCCCAGCCACCCATATTAAAGCTCAACGCCGGTTTTTCTAGGATGCGGCCTTACAACTGCATCTAGCAAAGCTGGACGATGCCGGCTTGGTAGTTGATGGGGCCCGATTGGGGCCCGACCGGGGCCCGATGGGGCCGGTGAACCGCAAACCGTTCTTGTGGAAATCTCGTGAGTTGAGTGTAAAACTTTGTTGGAACCTTTCCTCCTGGCTGCCCCATAGCTTTTGCAGAACCTGGTGGAAACCTCGTGGAGCGTTTTTGCAACCTTACCCCGCAGCCCTCGCAGCCTTGTGGAACTGTTGAAACCCAAGCCCACGAAGCAGTACTCAGTAATGCCAAGCATTTACTCTGCTACACAGTGAGTTCCGTGGCAATGTGATCTGATTTGCCACAAAGCCAACGCGTTGCCTGAGCAAGTGAGCAAGTGACAAAACAGTGAAAGTGTGCTGAAAACCATTGATTTCGGTTTTGCTTAGTGTTCCGCCCATGAGCAAAGCGATCTTCTGAGCCCTTTTCAGACGGTGGGCGCACGACACATTGCTTCCTTGCAGAACATTTGTGGAACTTGTGGAGTGTTGTGGACTTATGACTCTTGTGGAATCGTTACGCAACTGCTGTGAAACCCTTACACCACCCCGGACCACCCCACAGCCCTCGTAGAACCTGGTGGAACCCTTGTGGAACCCTCGTGGAACCCCGGACCACCCCGCAGCCCTCGCCGAACCTGGTGGAACCCTGGTGGAACCCTCGTGGAACCTTACCTCAGGGCCGCCCCAGACCACCCCGGAGCCTATTTGGGCTGAGACCCCAAAGCTTTCAGCTGTTGGGGAAAAAAGAGGTAACTATGAGGGGGTGTTGAACAAGCAAAAGATATAGCCATCCTCTTGTGCTTTTCTGCGAGCTTTTTGCCCGGATGAAGCCTATTTGGCAGCTAGTGAAGTCGTACCATCTCTCATGAATCCGAGCTTTAGCACTTTGACACTTTGACCCATCACCTGATTCCTACTAAGTGTTTGTTCACCCATTGTGGATAAAAAGGCACCTGTACGGATGTACGCTGAGACGCCTCCCTCATTTACAAAGGAATGGTAGTTACCTGTTGAGTTTCAAGTCATTTTCTGAGAGGAACCAGTGGAAAGCTTGGGGCAGGTACAGTACCAAGCTAGGAAAACCATGAAACGGTGGCCAGTGAACTTGAGACCCGAACTTGTCAACTTGTGTGGTGCGAGTCCCCCTTTTAAACTCTTGTGGCCTACCGCAAGTTGAAAATCGTTGCCGAGAGTGGTTGAAACCAAAGGAGAAGGTCGGTCCACTTTGGTTGCAACAGAGGCGAAGGCAAACCAAGCAATTGTGCCTACGTCACAAGTGGATTCCAATGACCCTAGCAAGGAGCCCCCCAAGGGCTTGCCTTTTCAAGTGTAGAAACCTGTTAAGGATAATTAAAGGCTTGGTTGAGATTCATGAGGAGTAGTGTGTCCTGTGGTGGAAGTGTTGCAACTCTGCGCCAATTCTTGCACATTTTGTCAGATGAATAGGGTGCCGAAATTAAACGAGCAAAAACTTGAGTTTTCTGTAGGTTCGCCTCAAGCTGGGCAAAGGCTTTATACCGCTGTGAGACCTCTGCAAAAACCTGCTCAGCTTTCCGCCGGGCTTAGGCCGAGTCCGAGTGGCCAGGGTTGACAGTGGAGTGGGGTTCAGAGTTGCATTGGTGGCTTGGTTCAGGGTTGAGGCATGGGTTTGAGTCTAGATTTAGGTAATTACGGATTTGGGGTGCAAGGTTTGACGAAAGGGTAGATGGCTGGGTGTAGCTAAAGCTTTAGCTTCAGGTTGGCTTAGGTGTCACGTCTGGGTGTGGAGTCGGTTAAGGAATTCGGATAGTTTGAGCTTGACACTATCCACTGCCCTGTTCTGTGTATGCGTGGCCCTAATGCTGAAATCGCAGGGCGTGTAGTGTTTGGTCGGCAATAACTTGTAACATGACAGCGCCCCAGGCAATGTAAACGCGAGTCTTGACACTACCAACAGCGGTTGAAGACCATCCTTGCCAGCCCCAAGTAAAGGGGTCTGCTATCGTCTCTTGACCAGTGGCACATGTAGCTGGGCAAATTACTGCAACTCCCAAACGGTACGTAGGAAACCTCAAAGTAAAGGTTAGCACAATTTGTTCGGCAAATTTCCAAGGGCCTCTATCAACATAGATGGGACTCCAAATCGATGTTCTTGTGAATTCCCTTTCAGCCAACCCTGAAAATGGAACTAACTGCAAAATACACGACTGGTCTAGTAGGGGAATCCCGTTTGGGAAGGGGAAGCCAAACAGAAACAAGCCATTTCAGAGCTTTCAAGTCCTGTTTTGAGCCCAACCAGTCAACTCCCTCTCAAGCCATCCGTCACCCGGCCTCTGCGGGTGTCCTTGGTCATGAGTAGCAGGTCGACAGCCCTGGCTGCACCTTGTAACCGCAGGCAGCCGCTGATGAACTCCTGGAAAGAAGAACTCCCAAGGATCGTCATACCAAAGGCCGGCAGACCCCGCAGGTCAGACAACATGACAAATATCTGTTTTAGCATCCGGGAGTTAGCTACAAGTGCTTTGTAGTTGCCAGTAGTTCCCAGGCAAGCCCCTACAGTAATCAACCAGCTATGGTTTTAGTGTTTGAAGGGGGGCGACTTTCGTGGTTGACCAGTACACGCAAAGGGAGACAATCGAACTCGGGGTTCTCGTGTACCCCAAACATAGATGATTCCTTCTTTGGAGCCTTTGTGCTTGCTAACCCCAATGTCTTCAATTGTACAAGCCGATATGAGCCCCGGACAGAATTACTTGTTTCCCCAAGAGGAAGGACATGACACGAACAATTCAATTCGGGGAGCCTGGCTGTTATGGGAAACTTGTGTGGGTCCCCAAACCAACGTAGTATAGGTGGTGTGCTAAGGAAACGCGCGTACAGCATCACATTAGCCCTTGAACTCCAGGCATCGGTCAACAATCCCACTGTCTCTGTGTATGGCTTGAGGAAACAAAGGGCCAACTTGCCAGATTGGTCACACCCACTCGCATCCTAAACTAGGAAGCCTCTAGGATTGGGTAGAGCAATTCACTTTGGGGTTCCTGAGAAAAACACAACCAAAGTTGTCACCAGTTTAGGTAAGCCCCATTCGTGTAGCCGGTATGCTTCCATAGCAAGAGGGTGGAAACAAGAGCGACCCTCAGCGAGGGCAGGGGGCGACTTGTTGCTTGTGGGGTCAAGCCATTAAGCTAAACAGGCCAAATTCCCCAACGATAAATAATGTTGATTGGGAGTTCGGCCATGGCGTAAGCAACGATGACAGGGTACGAGCACCGGCAGGCTTCCGCCAACAACGCATTCTTAAACACTCTGTTGGAGAAGGAATAGCACAACACCAGCTCCTCACGTGTCCACCTCTAACATGCGCCCCTATTCTCATTTGTTTTGCTCTCATTCCCATTTGTTTGTGGACCAAGCATGTTCCAAGATCGCAGCCGGGGGGGGTTTGTCTCACGAACGCTCAATTAGGACAAAGCCAAACCAACGAACACTTCCCTACAAGTTCCCTTCAAGCATGACCGTGCCGAAAGGAGACTCACGCAGAGGTAATGTTTAAAACCAACCAAGATCGAAAAATGATAACCCCCAAACAGACCCAACCGACCAACCGATCGACCGAAAAACAAAAACATGCGGAACGGAGTCTTTCTTTGCATGCGCAAAATCCATGTTGCGCATGAAAAAGAGTCGCTCCTCTTTGTCGATGGAGCCGTCCCCGCTCAAGTCCAGGATCTCAAACAACACCTCTGCCTCAGAGGAGTCCACGTCGATGGTCCTGCATTTATCGGCGCAATGGTAGACACAACGGGATGGTTGAGGAGAACACAAAAGACATGTCACGTGGGGTAAGGGTAGAAACTTAGTTGGAAAAGGAGAGCAAAAGGACGGACAAAATACTTGTGGTCATTGTTTCAAGCCGCTGGAAAACGGCTGCTGCCATGTGAACTGGTCAAGGCCCCCCCCTGGTGTGCCGAGTTGAGATAAAAAGCAGGCAACCGAAGGGAAACTAGACATGTAGTTGAGCCACATTCTCATACACCCTCCCGAAAAGATAAGCAGGACAAACACAAGAGTTGAATCCCCAGCAGGATAAACGGTCCAAACCGGGGTCATCAGAAAAGACAGTGGGCCGGCTTAAGCAACAGGAAAGAACAACTGCTCTCCCCCAAGCAACAACTGAGGTGGTTTTTTGCAGCTCCCATGGTTTTCGCGCTTTGCTTGGATCGGTCAGCTCGCCGTAAACTAGGCAGTGATCCCGCCCAACCCGAGTAAAGCCGTCAATTACCTGCCTGAAGCTTGCAAATCTTGCTCAGTGGTCGCAGGAACACTGACTCGGCCCTTCATTGGTTGCCTTTGTTGCTCAAGGAAACTCATAAGGACCCTGGGGTCCCGAATGCTTAAGAGGATGTCCTTTGTGGGCTCGTTGCTTTCAAGCGGAAAGCAAACCCCAAAGGAAAACAGGTGGGAGTCTACCGGTTGCAACTGGACAACTTCAAGAACATGCAGTTGCCTTGGCAAATTGCTGAAAACCCTTCCAAAAGGGCCAATCCTACCTTTCCAAGCCTTTGGAAGGCAAATCGAGTGCTGTTCAAACTAGGAGCCTTCCTGAGAGTTGCTACAAAAAAAAACTCCAGCGCCCGGTTGCCTTTTGGTTTCCCTCCAAAGTACGATTTCGATGCAAAGCTTCGCACAAGACACATGGCCGGCGCCTGAAAAACTGCTGCACGGGCTTGGACTCCAAATGCCGCCGGATCTCGTCGATCGTAATAGCCTCACCAAGGACTCTGAGGAGAGTTGTCAGAATTCACCAACCTGAACTAAGGCCTGCCAACAAAGGAAACCTTCTTGGGTGATGCCCCAAAGCTAATGCATAGTGACCATCCACTGGTTCAGCACGGTGCAACATTGACTCGCAAACTCCTTCGCGCCATTGTCTTTGATGTGTTCAGTGGTCAAGAATTTGAACGACGTCTCCTAGTTCTCTCGCTCGAAGCAAAGGCCGAACTCACCCTAACTTAATACGAGAAGTTCACAGCTTGCGCCAGGACCTCTCAAAATGCGGAACTCCTCACACGCCTGTAGTTTTCATTCGTGGTTTGCCGAAGCAACCCGAACAGGGTGCCGCACCTTCAAGAAAGCTATACTAGCGCATACCGCATAGAACGCTCACCTCAGTTCGCCAGGCTGCACCGCTGTCATCGATGTCGAGACTTTTGAAGAGACGCCGTGCTTGGAAGACATTGTCTACGTCCTGGCCAGGGCTCGAACGGGTCCAAACTCGGACCAGTAAGACCAAATGAAACCCTTTCAGTGCGTCCACATTAGGCGAAACCAACCCGAAGCCCACAGAGAATGTCCACTGTGTGTCATTTGAGATTCTTGTTGATCTGGACGAGAATGTCTGCCACTCCGCTTGCCCCAGGATTGAGCCCTGCTCTGGGAAGTTTTGCTCATCTAACATCCGATGGCTGAGGGCAAGCAAAAACCGGGTTCCACCCCCCTTGATGTACCTGTGGAGGTAGCCGGTCAAACCTCTTGGTTGTTTGCAATGAGGGAGAGCACTAGGCTTTAACATGTCTAAGCCTCGGTTTCACCATAGGGGTGGCGGTAGCCAGACCATTCTGTTCCAGCTGTTGATCAAGGACCGCACAGAGTCTCTCCTGTCAAGAATTGCTCAATGCTCAACCTATCTGCAAATTGATAAGCAGTACCTATAATCGCGTCGACCCCTCAAGCCATGAGGGTTTTGCACACTGCCAATCCATTCCAACCGATAAAGAAAGCCGAGTGTTCAACATTTGGACAAGTTAGTGACACGGCTGCAAAGCGTTCTCTGCGACACGGGATGCTTCTCACTGAACGCAATTGATTGTGACACTTAGCTGCTCGCAGCAGATCTTGCTAACCAACATCTCAATCATCTGCACTAGAAGAAAGCTTCTGAGGAACACAATGTATATATATATATATGTATAAAAATAGCAACGACACAATAGCATAACACACCTTCCACATGACTTAACAGTAAAATACCAGAGATGACACATTCGCGGATTGGCTTGCTGAGTCAAAGGACTTCTCCGAAGACAATGGGGACGTTCCGCTTCGGCAACGAGTCCAGATTGCAGGCCACTTTGTGTATCGTGCTGGGTTGACTGGCGTTGTGTGCTGCGTCCTTGCCTGCGTTCATCAAATAAAGGAGCCCTGGGAGAGGTCATGATGAAGAAGCCATAATTCAGACCTGCTGGAAGACTCACTGTTCTTTGGGCTTCCTTCAGCTGAGGTGTAAGCAAGCTTGCATGCAGTTACGAGTGAGGCAGCGCACGCTGGTTCGGTACGTCATTGCTTGGGTGTCTTAATAGCGCGGCTTATGGGGTTACCTACGGCGACTTTGGGCTTATCGCCATCGTGCCGTACGACCAAGCGAATTAGGCGTGTTTGGTGTGTTTTTGGATTTGCCCAACAAAGTGGGGAACTACATAAAGAGCAATGCTCTCCCCGAACAAATTCCATAAAAAGGCTGCCCTGGAGGGTATCCGCAACACCAAACATGTGTACGCAGAGTATCTTCAAACTTCAAAAAACTTGATGCCCTTCGTCATTCCTGGGGCGCAAATACCAGAAACCCAACACCTTGAGCCAGTGGTGCTCAAATCTCATGTGTTTGCCCTACTATAGCAGGGTTTAGGCCAAATACCCAGCTATGATCCCTGCTTCTTTTTGCCGCTGTTCAAGAGCGCACTTGTACCACTGGTTGGACGGCAAAGCTTTTTGGCGATATCCAATCTCCGTCGACCGTGAACGCCGAGCCAAAGCCAAATGCATGGCTCCTGTGCCGCAGTCATCTCGTATAAAGCCTTGGTGCGCTCGTCGCCAATCTAGTTGCCTAACAAAATGATGTCTGTCACAGTGGTATTCCCAGTGAGGGCATCAGCCATTGCCTCGCCGCCCGCTTCTCCAATTGTGTTCCTGTCCAAATGGAGCCTTTGCATTGTGGTGCTTTGGCCGGCTGTCGTCGAATTTCTTCACGCCGGCTGATCGTGGTCACAACGCAGTTCCGGGTGATGTCTTCGGCCAAAACCGCCTTGGGCTTGACTTCTTCCGGCTTGTCTTGCTTGCCCGGATTGTCTGACTGGTCCATGCTGCTTCGTTCGCCAATCTGGTTCCTTTCCAGATTGCCGCTGGCCACCCTGCTTTTCCGGGCGAAAGCGTCGCCCCGCGCCTTGGCGCCTTTGCGCCTGAACCTGTGTCGATTTGGGGAAGAAGCTTGGCCCTCCCCCTACAAGTTCGTGCAGAATTGCCAGGCTGGCCCTGCAGGCACATGGAAATTCTGAACGAACTAGCTTGCCATCTGACCTCACCAGGTGCTGCGCGAAGCGGCAATCCACGTCCATTGGCTTGACCTAGTTGTCCTCTGTGACAATCTCCTCCTGAAATTCTCCCAGTTGACATTTGCCAGCCTTCTCAAGCTGCAGAGCTTGAGCTCTGCGGCGCCTGCCTGTCTGCCATGTCGGAAGTAAGACACACACACATGCAGCTTGACCGTTCTGGTCTCTGCTTCTTGTTTTTACTGGGGTTCATGTCATGTGTTTTCTTCGCAGTATGCTCATTTCGTCCCTGGTATTTCCCTTGTGTGCTGTAAGGCTGTCAGATACTTGTTTGTTTGTCTGTTTGCTTGTTTGTTTGTTCCGCTCGATGCTTCCTTTCTTGACACTGTCCACACACACATTATGTGATGCATTGATAAGCTTGCAGATGAGGCACTTGTCAAGCGCTTCCTCTACAGAACGCCAACTCGTTGCTGCCCTCTCTGTGGCACATTTTCGTTCTGAGCAAATCCAGGGTTTGCTGTCTGCGAAGGCAATCAATTTTCTGAAACGCAATGTACGTCAGGAAACCAACCCACGGAACACTCGTGGGAATATGACAGGTTTGTGCCTGGGTTCGAAAGCACTGCTCACTTGTCAAGCGCTTGGCGGACCAACCCCTTGTTGAATCAACCTTCAACAGCTTATTCTGTGTACAAACACCCACGTCTGGTTGATAATGCAAGGGCCTAAGTCATTGCAGTACAAACAGTAAGACCTTACGATGTGTCTAAGTACGGGCCCCACAATTTGATGCCACCTGCAACTTTCATTTGTTAGGAATTTCCTTTCTGGAAACGGGCCCCTGTTTTTGGGTCCCGTATCAATTTGCCGGGTCCTTCACGGACTGGGATCGCTCCATGGCAGCCGAGACAAAGTTCCCGGTGATGATGTTCATCACCTCAAGGCCAAGGAATCCACAAGTCATTCATGAGGTCATGACACCCAAGTTTGTAAATAGGCAGTCACATTCAAGATGGGATATTTCAGGACCGGATTAAAACACACAGCCACACTTTGACCTGCCAGGTTGATGAAGCCGGGGCCAACATTATCTCGAAAAGGATCGACAACAATTCATGTTGCAACCTCTACTCGATAGCGGTACTTACACTAGGTCGTACACAGGGCCCCTGAACAAATGCGCATCCCGGGTACTCCCCTGCAACTAAACATGGAACCCAAGAATGGCTTGAGTTGAGCGATTTTAGGTTCCCTGATCATTGCTGCATTCTTCTCGGCGGCCTTGGCAGGTCGACTCGCTAGAAATCGGCCGACCATTTTAGGTAGGGCGCGCCCAGCATGAGGAAGGCGATCCAAAAGACCGTGGCCAGGCCCCAGCCCCAGTTCATGTATTCCGTCCTCAGGAATCCGATGCCGAATCTACGAGCCGAACAAGCACCAGCCAAAACGAGGCAGATTGGCTGCCTGTTCTCCATCCAGGTTGGCCATCTCTTTGAACATGTAGAAACAACCGTTCTTAATGTTGCTGTAAGGGATAAGGGACTAAAACGTTGCACACATTTGGCTGCAATGAACATGACTTAACTTTGTGTTAAATTACCTGAAGCACAGTTCTGATCAATTAGGGCCACATAGTACTTGGCTGGCCAATAGACAGAGAGGCTCATCCCTACCCAAAGCCAGGGGGGTGCCTGCTAAGAGATGGCAGTCAAAGGTGATCGTACTAAGCCAAACATGGATCAACGGAACCAAAAGCAAACCACTGGGCAAGCACACCGAAAAGCTGCTATAAGCCAAGGACATCTAAGTCCTTGCAGTGAAGCCGAAAACTAGGTGTTGAACAGAGGTCTAGAGGAAAAAAAAAGGTAAACAAATCCCCATCTCCTGTTGGTGTCCTTTCTAAATAAGGGGCCTGGAAAAAAAAGAAGATGCCCATCCCCGTTTGATTTCCCCTTGCGTAAATTAACACACATATTATGGGCTATTTAGCACCCAGCTACAAGGAATGCTGTCAGTTGTTCAAGCTTACATGGAATCACCCTGGAAGGTGGCTCCGCAAAAGGCGATCTCTCTGTGTGTCTTGTGATGATGCCAGTTTTCGTGGGAAGAAACTTGCCAACCTATGGTAACCTCGCTTGAATTGCTGCCCGTCTCTGGAAGGGTCGGGCAGGTTCTTTTGTTCAACTTCCCGTCTTGACTCAGAACTTCCAGACATCCCCGGCCCAATTCCGTGTTTCAAAAGGGGAACAACGGGCAGCCCTGATCGATAAATCACATGATCCCGTCCCAAAGCTAAGGGATCCGAGTCAATCCATCGGATCGGGAGTCTGATGAGTAGATGTACGATGATGTGTATATATATATATATATATATTTTGATTTATTGATTTATTTATTCATTTATGTGCGTGTGGGTGTCTCGAAAAAGCAGGACATGTTGCTACCGGTTGGCTTCTACATGGTTGCCTTTTCAAACAGCGCCCAATGAAATGAACAAACAAATAAAACGTGCGCACGTGAGTAGGTTCTATCATAGATTCGTGTTTCATTCGGGCATGCACAAGCAAACTCACATGGTTTCTTGCAGAAGCAAGGCAACGGATAGTTCCAACATGTTTACAAGCAAGCAACCAAATAACCATAGTACATGACAGGAACTCCCATGTTCCATGCTTGCAGCATTTCGCTAAAATCAGGCGGCCGCAAGTACCATGCGTGCTCCGCCAATTACCGCAATTCGGAGCAACATTGAGGAAGGACTTGAGATTGTCTACGGGTTCTGTGTCGCGCTCTGTCAAGTAGGTATGTGGGTACATCAAACTGGGAACCTGCCAGGGCCCAAGGTTTCATGCTAGTCCCCTTGGACCAAAAAAGTGAGTGAAAACCAAAGGCATGCCCAAACCCGGCATTCTTTCAGCCAGCAAGCCGTAGAATTTAACGTAAATGATAAGAATTCAACAGAATCCACCCTCTGAAATGCGGGGAAAGGAGCCTTCGTTGTGGGTCCCAGGGTCGCGACTTAGCTTGCCGAGGTTCAGTGCTTCTACGAGGTCGCGCCAGTCGATGCCTGCGCTTCCAAATATGGACTGCGAACCGTGCCGAGACACGGCGCTTTGGGACCCCAACGCACACACAAACACACATGACACAAAAACACACACACACACACACCCACGGGATGAATTGGATGGAAGTGAGGGTTATTTGAACTGCGTGGACTTGACGCGGAAGTAGCACCAATGCCTGGGCCTGTGAAAGGTTTCCTGGGGAAAAGGCACACTTTGGTTACGCATCCCGACAGAGGATGCGATTCCCTTTGTCAAACAAACAAGGCAAACCACAAGGAGTCTCAGCATAGCCCACGCTTGATCGTCTTTCACTCCGCTAGCCCTCCTCATCAGGGATGCCAGCACACCACACAGTACACACACACACACACACCACACACCACACACCACACACACACATGCACTACTGTAGCCACAAATCAAAAAAAAAAAACCCGGGGGAGGGCAAAAGTATAAAGGGCCTCAAGAAAGGGGACCTGTCAGCGTGTTTGGCTATCTTTGTGGGGGTGGAAGGTACCACTCTAATTCCTCCGGAAAACATCTGTTGGTCACATTGCCGAAGCCATGACCTCGGTGTTTACGGCTGCCGACTTAGAAAAGGGTCAGATGGTTGAGTCACATTCCATTGTCAGGTTGGTAATTTGTGGCAAGGTGCTGTGCGATGTTGTGCGGTGCTGTGTGCGCTGTGCTGCGCCGGGTGCTGCTGCTGCTTGTGTGTGTGTGTGCGCGTGTCTATGTGTGCCTGCGTGACGTGGTGTGGCGTGGCGTGGTGTGTGGGGTGTGGTGGGGCGTTTGATGTGAAATCAATACGGCGTGTAGTGCAATCTGGTGGGGTGGGGCTGGCCGATTGACTGATTGATTTGATTCAATGATTATATGCTTGGTTGATCGGTGGAGTGTTTGGCTCGCTGCTGCTCGCCATCTGGTGTGAGTTCTCGCGTGCTTGTTTCGGCCTTTGCAAGAGATGCAGCTGCCACCACGTGCCTCAGACTACTCACATCATGCTGCTTCGTGACGCTGTTTCTTCCGCGTCTACATCTATGTGGTTTGCTTGAATGGGGAACAGCGGTTTGCATAAGACACCACACATGCCCAACTGCAAAAAGTAGGCTCGCAAATTTGATCTTCAACAGCAGGGTTTGCCACAACACCGCCTAACTCCTTATCTGCAATCTAACAGCTGGCACCTCAAGAAACGTCTTGCCGCAAAAAAAATGGCATGCTCAGACTTCAATAGCTAGTGGCTGATGTGGTCGCCGGTGAACGGGCCTCCCGTCAGAGCTTGGAAAAGGGACAGGATGGACTTGCTGACCTCGGAAAGGCCAAGGCCAACAAGGTCTCTTGCAAATCGAATAGTCCCAACCCGAATCGTGCCGAACCTGATGCGATGTGGGGGCAGGGAGAACGTGCAATCGGTTGCATTGTTGAGGCAAGCTATCTTCCGAGTAAGGGCGACTTCTTCACAAACCTCCTCTGAGAAATTAGATGTTGGCTGGGAGGTCCACTCGTATTCAACTGGTTCACTAGGGATGAAACAAATGGTTGAGTCAAGGAGGTCATCAACCTCACCAACCACCTAATATCCATACAAACCCGCCCACAGAGAGCATGCAATACCTCCTCTTAAACCTAGCTGCCGCGGTTCTCTTCAAAGCATTTACATGGCAGAAACCCATTTGAGTTCGCATTGGGTACAGCGGGTTTGCTGCCCGGAGGCTTGAGAAGAGAGACCAGTTTGGATCAGTTTGGACAAATTGGTTGCCAAGAGCATGTGTTTGTTTTGGGAGACCCGCGTTTTGGTTGGGTTTTTAGGGACACCAAGAGGAACACATTCCACTTTAGAGGTCCGGAATATTTGGAGACATTGTACTCAGCGGATATTGCCGTTTGACCCTCCGGGAAGCCGTCTTGGACCTCACTTTCTGAGTGGATCGGTCAGAAAATGTCTAGAGTTGTTTTTTACCACCAAAGCTGTCTTCCCCAAAAACGTTTGAAACTGTGATATATTGTGAGATTCATGACATGTCTCCCTACGTATATGTAGCATGCTGATTCAGGGAAGAAGAGCCGACTTGGCTGAGGCCAACCATTCTGCTGTCTGAAACACAAACTTCATTTGCACGGTAGTGTCGCAAAACTAGGCACCATTATGACCAAAACAAACACAACTGGAACGGAACTGGCTATGTCTCGTGTCGATTGACTTCTGGCGCGCTTCCGCTGCCAAACATGTGCACACTTGTTGCAAGCCGGCTGGCCTCCGCAATCTCCGCACCGCCACACTCCCCAAGGGTCTGCCATGAACAATGCACTTTAAGAAGTGGGCGCCTCCAAGTGCGGACTGAGTTACTCAGTTCATTCCGAATTCTCGAAATGAGCACCGGTGCTTTCGTTTCCCTGCGACGGTGGGTCACCCTTCAGAAAAAGGCTCTTGACTCCACGTCCAGGCGGGGACAGAATTGCATGAGTGGGTATCTCACCAACCAACACGAGAACAAGTCTCCAGGTCGTCACCAAACCAACAAAAACTGGCAACCGATCGCAGGGAGTCTTTGAACAACTTGACCTCATTCGCAGCTCCGGGGGTGAAGTTTTGGGCGCCGAGCTGTGCCAAAGTATTCCGCCAAGACCTCGTCGCCCACGGCGCTCTTTCCTGCCGCAAGCCCGAGGGCTGCGAATGCAGCTCCATGCAACTTGTTCCTTACAGCCACAGAGGGGAAATGTATGGGAACTGGGTCGCTTTGTTGGAGAACTCCTCCTCCCACTCTACAGTACTTGGGGGGGGATCGCCAGGGTCTTCTTTCAGACTTTCAGACTTTGGCTCTGCTTTTCAACGGGAGCGGTGGGCCCGAAACAAGCGACTTCATTCTGCGATGTTCCCCAAGGTGTGGCTTTCTGAAATCAACCTCATTCAGTCCCAGTGGTTCCAAACGAGCAGGCAACGCTACCATATAAAAAGATATAGAACCTAAAATAAACAAGCATGAGCTCCAATTCACTACCCGGTTCCTGCCCGGAACCCTTCCGCAACCTGCCCCAAGTTGGGCTCCCAAATCCAGAGTTGGCCAAATGTGTCGCTGTCGGGGACAAAAACAAGCGAATACACTCAATGATGGACTCCCTGAACCCGCTACTGCTCAGAATGGAGCCTCGCGTGTGGGAGCTCTCAGCACCGAAACATGTACTGATTGCGAAAGGCTCAAGAAATCCCTGCCTCAGGGACTACGGGTTGACTTCGTACGCCCCCTTAAAATTTGTGAGTGCAAAGACGA